CCCATCCCATCCCTTTGTCCCACCCCACTGTCCCATCCCATTGTCCCATCCCATCTCATTGTCCTACCCCATTGTCCCACCCCCCTGTCCCATCCCATCCCTTTGTCCTATCCCTTTGTCCCACCCCACTGTCCCATCCCATTGTCCCATCCCATCCCTTTGTCCCATCCCTTTGTCCTACCCCATTGTCCCATCCCTTTGTCCCACCCGATCCCTTTGTCCCACCCCACTGTCCCGCTCTGTGAGGTCTCAGAGAAGCGCAGGAACGATGAAGCACAGGAACGATGAAGCACAGGAACGATGAAGCTCAGGAACGATGAAGCACAGGAACGATGAAGCACAGGAACGATGAAGCACAGGAACGATGAAGCACAGGAACGATGAAGCACAGGAACGATGAAGCGCAGGAACGATGAAGCACAGGAACGATGAAGCACAGGAATGATGAAGCGCAGGAATGATGAAGCACAGGAATGCTGAGGCACAGGGAAGGAGAGGGAGGATGACTGGACTGCTCGGATGGGAAATGCAGCCGTGTGCTCCGTGTCTTCTCAAGCCCTAGGATTGTCGCGGGTCATTGCCGATCCAGCACGAGGCCAGGAGAGGCCCTGGCAGGAATTCTGCCCACCCGGGGTGGCCGGGCTGGGGAGCTCCCCGTGCGGGGTGTCCCGGGAGCTAAAAGCTCCAGTGGGCTCACAAAGCGCTCGGAGTAAGCCATGGAGGAGAACCCATCAGGGCTACCAAACGAGGAGACAGGGCTGTTTCGGTGGCTCCCAGAGCCACCAGCACCGTGGGGACCCTGGCGCGGTGCTGCCGTGCCCTTTTCCCCGCAGTGCCGCAGCCAGCGGCCGGTGACACCGCAGCGCTCCGTGTCGCTGCTCCTGGCACGGCCGGGGCACCAGCCCGTGCCGCTGGCACCGGGACACGCCGAGGGCTGGGCTGGGGTCTGCGGGGACGGAGGACAGCATGGTGGGGAAGGGGCTGCGGGGACCCGGGGGCAGATCCAGCCTGCCCGGGGAGCCGAGCCGGGCGGCTCCGGATGGCTCCAGGGACTCGGCTTGCACTCCCACAGGAAGCGCTGGGTTTCCAAAAACGCAGCTGAAAGAAAACAGGAGGTTGTGCGAGGGGAGAGCTGAATACATTTGCATGGCTAAGAGCTCGTTGCATAACGGGACGGACCAGAGCGGTCTCGGGACGCTGCCGGGGGCACGGGGGAAGGGAAGGCTCGGACAGGGTCCCCCATCCCTGCGGGAAT